TCGACAGAACAGAACTTGCCGGTTATAATGCTAAGCAACGGCTCGTGGCCGAATGGCGGAGTGTTCAAACTAAGAACCAAAATTTTGCGAGATGATGATGATTCCCAATGAGAATGAAACAATGTACAATGTTTCTCGACTTTTCGGCACGGATCGGTCTTACCTACTGGACAAAATCCTCATTAAGTTTGAACTTTTGCGGATCCATTCAGTTGGGTTATAGGGCTCATCAATGATAGAACGTTAGTCATCATATCTAAGGTAAACTGATAACTGTGCAAACCGGCCGAGCCGAAAGATTAATTGCAATAAAGCGAGTAAAATGAGACTGAGTAGCGACCCGAATGGCACTCCATCTCCTTGTCTTTACACAGTGTCGCTAAATAAATACTAGATACTGAAAATGCATTGTAAAAAAAGTGTTTTTCGCAAAGATACTTGGGTATTGGCGAAAATATTGGGTGATTGTCGGACAACATCTGTTCAAACAAGGAAACATTGGTTGGATGAGGGGGGGGGCGGCATCGGAGAAGCACATTAACTCACAACCTGATTGTAACCCCGACGGTGTCACGCGCGCAATGCGTGCAAAGATGCTTTGAAAACCATTTAAACTTGTGTGTGAAACTAATGAGAAACGAAGAAAATTTACATGGTTCTCTTCTGCTACAAATAATTCTGAAAGAGAATACGGCCAATCATTGTTTGCCGAAAAGGTTGACAGATTATGTGGATAATTTTAGACCAACTTATGGCAAAAGCGTCATTAAAAAACTGCAAAGATCTGAACATTTTGTAGGCGATCAACAATACTAAAAAGTTTTGTTTGTATAATTGCTAACAGGTACAATAGGAAATGACCCTAAAATTATCACCGTCGCGTTCTTAAAGCACACTGGTAGTTTTTTTTTACCGTATATAGTTTCCAAAGGGTAGTTTTTATATTCTGTTCTTAAAAAGGGAGATAAACCAGTTTTTTGTCTCTGTGCTACTGTAAACACACTAGTTACTTGAGCGTTCCGATTCGCCAATACCTCATCAATGGCATATCACTTTTCGGCCACTAGATGCTGTGGATACTGTTTGCTCCAGCAAAACGCCTCTCAGGTTAACTAGGGAACGATTCCTCGTTAGAAGGAAATCATAGCCAAATTTGATTTATTGTGTCTAGGCCAGTTTGACATTTATCTAAAGTGTATTTTAAAAAAGCACAGTTGCTAACTACAAGCCAGCCGATTGCACCAAGTCACGATACAACCGGTGCATGCGTTGCTTGGCTGCGAAAAAAAAATCATCCCAAACTGAATGATTATCCAGCCAGTCACCAAAGAGTATTCTACATCAATCAAGCCAAAACGTGTTCACCTTAGAAGAAGTAGTTCCGCCCTAAACTCTGCTGAAACGTTGCACCTGCTTGTCTGCCAGTAGGATTAGTCGAAGCATAATTATATGTGATGGACAAGTGAACCCTGTAGGTGGAGCAGCCCGGCTGAATACTAATGTTAAGGCGTGAATACTGTTATATATATATATATATACTGTTATTTATATATAATTCTATCTGCTTAAGTCAACCAAGTGTAGGTTACGCACAGTGTTTGAGACGTGATGAATTTGCCAGAAGTCATCTGATTCTTTCTCACTTTAAAAGAATTTGTTGAATAGTTTCATTTGATTTTTTTCCAGAAAAAAACGTACCTGAATAAACAAAAAGTACTTTTCACAGTCATAGTTGAAAAGCAAATGATTTCATTTAGAATTACATTCTTATTGCAGAGTAGAAGCAAATTCTAATCACTGAAATGAACGGCGTGTAAGTTGTTGTTTCCCGGACAGTTTTTGGCACCATACGGTGCACAACATTAATGGTTCTTAACCCAGTTACTGGCACCTTTCACAGTCGTTTTTATAATCTTGCTGTTCTCGCTACAGCAGTTTGGTTTTTCTGAATGATATGCTATAAAAGTGGCTCGACTGAGTGTTACTATAGTAGCAATGAGCCAAATCAGTCACAGTTACGTCAAAACAAGTCGCAGTTAGCAAAGAAACTGATGTTGTTAGAATAAGTTGAACAAAACACTACAGTTACGTCAAAGCCTTGCTTAATTCACCGGGGACTGACAACGATAAGAGTACTGTTAAGCTTCCTCCATTGAAAGGAATTCAGTGTAATCACGAGAATTTCGAATAAGCCCAGGTTCAGTGGATGCAACTTGATTGCCGTTATTTCTCGCTTAATAATATAGATGAAACAGTTCATAAATAATTGCAAAATTCAGAGAGAGGAGCAGGGTAATTTCAAAGAAAGCGTCAAAAAATGAAGTAGGCAAAAAGTAAGGGAGAAAATCTGAAGACGAATTCAAGCTGTGACATTTTAGGCTAGACTTTGTTACCTTGCTGAAACTGCTGACTCAACGGATTCTAATATACAGTTATAAACAAATCATTTTTGAACTTCCTTGGCAGATGCTTCTAGATTCAACGAAGGTCTAGTCTAGCCCCACAATCCGAAGTGAAAATTTCTCTCCTGCTTCCCGTTTGTTTTTCACCAGTCTTGCCTATATGGTCTTACCAGGCGACTTTACTATTGGTGGTGTTATCCCGGACATGCCAACCAAAAGATAACAAGGCCTTTGCGGTTCTCGATTGCTATTTATTAGTTTATTGGTGCATGAAAGTTACTCTCTTAGAGTATACATTGGGCTCGATCCACATTCACCAGCAGTGTTCGTCTTTTCGCTCTGCTGACCCTCCCGCTGAACTTTTATCAACCTAGAGCTGCCTGGTGACCGTTGACCACGAAATCACTCCTCATGACAGAATAAATGATCCAAAAGGTTCATACTGTAAACTTCAGTTCTTGACGCTTTTAAATTAAGGCGTCTGTATCCTCATTATATAGTGGAACGTTTATGTCACGAGTGTCTGTAGCTCTCATTACTCTAACCAAAGTGAGAATGAAAAAGTCTGCCCACTGCTTCGATGCAACGTTGTATCATTAAAATTCAAATAAACTGGGAAGCCTTTTTGACGCAATCGGATGTTTACCACCGCGAAGAAACAAAGGTTTTTGAAAACGTTTATTGCTGATGTCAGTATTATGACGTAGTTTTTGGTTAATTATTGTGGGTCGTGAATGAACGTCTGATATTGACACCAAAGCAACCTGTGATGAAGGTGAACTCAAAACGTATCGTCACAGGTTGATTTAACCATTTTGTTTGGTTGAACGATCGGTTAAAAACAGTGATGGTCTTCAATTTGTAGACGGGGCAAAAGATTATCAGCTAAATTTTCGATCTGGATGTGTAAGTGATTTGCACCTTGCTTTGCGAAGTAGTGAATGGCTGTTTTCGTCTCAGAAATGAACAACCGGCAGTCTACTTCTTACGAATCTTTAGGGACCATTCGCGATCTCGCAGTTACTAACTGAAATTCGTGTTGTCAAGACTGCTGTCTAATTTACGCTTAGGCTCGCTGTAGAAACAAGAATTCCTCAGTCACATGTTCCGGTTAGGCACACCTGTCTCTACCCAACTTAAACACACAGAGGTTGCATTCCGTGTCCCCACCAGGGTTACAACCGACCGGTTGTACGGAAGAAAGACTTGTAGGTTAAACGTCCAAAAGTGACCCGTTGACTACGCTTTTAGACACTTATTGTCTGAGGCACCTTGGAAAAAAACATGGCGATCTTTTGTGTTTAGCTGTCTTGTTGAGTTGGCAAACAGTTTCAAGTTAATTAGCTAGATATATAGATAGACATACAGACGGGTGGACAGCTAGCCAGACATGTTGGTAGATAGATGGATATGTAAGGCGTCAAATGGTGTCGACTTCTGAAAGTATTTACACTCACCTTGCTCACCTGCTACCGTTGTAATATCGAAGCCATTAGAATGGAATTTCATATCTTCGCCCCAAAATCCTAATTGGCGCGTCCTAAAATGTTGTAGTTGATCAAAATTGTGGCAATGAAACATTGACCGGGGACACCGATCAGACTCATCAACAATCCGTCCACCCGGAGAAATCAAGCAGAAAAACTCTCTGAAGACTGGTTGGGAATGTCAAAAGTTTCAGAAGATAAGATTATTTCGTCATTTCGACTAATCAACCTGCTTATATTACGCAAATACCTTATATTGCAAGAGCTTGAAGAACCTGATCGCTGAGAAATTTTATTAAGATTTGCAAGGGGGATATCGATAAATCAAATGAAATTCAAAGCCATTACCAATGAAAAGAGAACACGTGTCCAACTGATACGGAATGTCGGACAAGCTGGTAAAGATATCAGTAAAACACACGATGGTCCGTCCCGTGCGCCCGTGTCTGTGCCAAGTTAACTGGGAATTGGAATACACAGCAGCACATTGGTCCCCACTCTTTTGTTCACTTGCTTTCGCAACAGAGTCACCTCAGTAATGAATAAATGCCAGTTATCCTACGATTACAACCCACTCCCTTTTATCAGCGATGGATTGATATCATATACCCCGTCCAAAACTTAAAGGACTGTCAATATTATTGGGCAACTGATTGAAATAATAGACCCCAAACAATACACAAACTAAACAAGATCAAGGCTATTTGCCAGAAGGATATGAAGGTTGCTTATGTGTTGACCAAAGTTGTATTGGAATGCATCCTAAACTGGAAGTCAGCTCAAGAAACGGAGTCACTGGAGATGGGTCTACTCTGGATTTTCCACTTTTTGTGGAGTCTCTTCACCAGCACCACGCAGATTTGAGTCAGAGACAAGGATGAATTTAGCAAGTCGTGTTTCAACTCTTTTTAGAGTTTACCAAAGGGAGTATCTAGGTTCGATTCGGTAGTTGAGGTCAACGATAATCTTGATTTTCATCAAGCCGCCTGAGCGTTTTAACGATCTGTAAAAAGAGTTGAGTGTAAACATGGGGTTGAAAGTGACATAATTCTGGTTTTCCCATTTCCCAACTAGAAATTTAAAGCCTCCTAGTGCACAGTGTGCAACTTACCGAAAACGGTAATCCGGGGTCCAGTATAGTGTATGCCACTTTACCATTCTCTCCAATGTCACAGTCTGTGGCTTTCACTGTTCCGACAATACGTTCGCCGGTGAAATTCTGTGCATAGTCCTCGATGATTGTGAAGTTGTATTGATTATGTGTGAACACGGGGGTACAGTCGTTCAGGTCATCGAGTATCACGCGGACATCCGTGGTAGCACTCAGACGTTTCGGTGAACCATGATCGGTTGCAGTAACCTTCAAGTAAGATTGAGAGGTGACTGGTTGGAAAGCGGTATATCGCGAACATTCAATAGGAGGTAGATTTAATAAAATGCGGTTGAGCACAAACTTACATACTGATTGGATCGGTTGGTCAGTGATTAAAACTGAAGCCTTTCATTCGAATAGGCTTTAGCTTCCAACGCTGAGCAGGTCTGCTCGTCCGGGGAGGGTGTATCCCAAGAAGAAAGATGAGGTCTAACACACGGAGAACTTCACACAAGCTGAAAAGAACGCGCTTTTTTTCTGGACTCTACTGGTAATCTGTTTGTTCTATGTTACTTTCACCTTTTTCTAAGCAACTGATCGATCGTAACGACTTCTGTTTCTACCTATCTTGCTTGGTTGGGTGCATTTCATTAGAAGTGACACTTTTTCCCATTCATTTTTTGAGTAGCTGAGCTGGAGAAAAATGCCGTCAAAAGAGGAGACATGCACGGGTGTGGGCGCCTATGTGAGATGGAATACCGAACCCCCCGATAAGATTTGCATTGATGTGGGTCTTGGTAAAAAGGCTTAGTTGGAACGTGGGCTTTGAGGTAGACGCACGACAAACTTCCAAAGTGGTGATCACCTGGCCTTTTTTTTATTAGCCCAAATATGAGGTCCAGGCCAATCCTGCCTCCTACCTCGTTACACAGCAGTGCTGTTTGTGTTTTCATGATGGGAAAAGCATCAAAAATGCACAAGGAAGTTTACAAGTATGAACAAAACCCGTGCTCTTCAAAATCTGTTCCTTAGTTGCCAGAATTCTCAGCGATTTCGTGTGTTTCAGTGAACATTCACCTGACTGTCGGTACTTGGCTATGATAAGACCTGCATGGAAAGAGGTCAGCGGTAACTCCGTACTTCTGAAGTGTTTTGAATCCAGGGAACTAGACGAAGACTTGCATCGCGATGTACTTCACCTCTGTCACATCAAAGCAGACGCTGTCGAATGTCTCGTTCGTTCACCAATTCAGAAATGGATTCGGAGGCTCACATTCTTTTTTCACTAACTTTATTTTTAGCAGCACGGATGCAGAGGCTTTATGCCTACGAAACTAAAATCACCTTCTGCTCCTGTGAATTTTACTCGTAGTTTTGTAATGCACTACTAATAAGGTTGCCGAAGAATCTTCAACAGCCCATGACTGGTTTCGCCCGAACACTTGGCTTCTAGTAGCTTAGTTTTTTCGGCTTCGAGCTACTTGACGACAATTTTATTCCCAACATTAATCGACATTTTACTGACACTTGTTTTCTGGCTCACAATTACACAATCTGAGTTCACTGTGGAACTTGATGCGACCAACGCAGCTTATTTTGAGCAAATAATCTTATGACTTATTATCTCCTACTGACTGGACTCAATATATTCACATGCTTCAACGCTGCATAAGCTCTGGTCCAACATTCACAACTTCGCCGCATAGCATTCTACGCAAAGCACACCGAAAACCTCACTGAACAATCACCATCTTCCTGTATTTATCACACTATTTTCATCTAAATCGCCTATAGATTAGATGGGGTTTCAATCTAACCGGAAATCCCTGCTTATCGACAATCGATCGCGATTGATCTGCATGATATACAAAAACTAACACATTGGTCGTTTGACACTGGTTGGGCATCAAGAGATTAAAGAAATTGAAGAGTACTGGTCCTTCAATGTAGATGTTTTTGTGAGTAATATCATTCTACTGGCAGGATAGTTTGATGGTGTTTACGGGAAACTAACCCGGTTAGCTTCCCACTTTGTGGCAGCTCACTAGACAGAGCTTAGAACCAAAATGAATTTATGTGCGCTAAACACTAATGTGACTGACACTCACTCTGAAAACTGTCAACTGTCATACGGATGTTTGTGAAGAGAAATTTCGTCACAAGGCATAGCAACACGCACATACACATCTAGCCAGTAGGCGTCAAGCTTTCCCTAAATTGAACTGTCTGAATTTTAGGTTCCAATAGCTGTCCAAAATGAATGCCGTTATCCTCGTTTCGATCAACGTTGATCGACTGTTTGGTTAGTCGTACCGGTAGCTAAGGTCTTTTCTCCAGTGTGTTCATGTGCGCAACACAAATTGCGACAGTTGTCAAACCAGAGAATCACATGCCTCTATGACAATGCTTCTGGCAGTAGGCAGAATATTCTCCATTTTGACAGGTCAATGTATAATCAGAAACTATCATGGAAAGGTTTCGTAAGGCACGAAAATAAGGCAGAAATTTATTTCTATTTTGGCTTTTTTCGTCAGGAACAATAATACAACTTTTTTTTAATACCGTAAGCGGGTGGAATATGCTAGCATTGGAACTGGGACAAGAAGCAATTATACATATGATTAGCTGTGAAATAAACCATATTTATTTTCTTTTTTAGACGTAAAAATTGAAATCATTTGAGGGAATTCAGTTCAGACTGCAAACATTTATCATTTGTGAACAGAATTGGGGGCGAGATTAGGAATTGCTGTTTGCCACCCAGGAACATATGGTCCCACGTTTCTGTCAACATTGAATTACGTCTCAGCCCGTAGCTTTTTTAGTGCGACAAATGATTCAGTGTCCAATTTTAATATTCAAAAGCAATTTGCATAAAATGAGTTAGATTTTGTTAAAGGGCAGAGACAAAGTTGTCGCACATTTTGTTAGCAAACGATAAGCGCTGCGTGGTCCACTAAAATCTTGAAGTCGGCATATGATTTGAGCGAGATTACTCATAGTAGAATACATGTAGTGGCATGTTTCCTTCGATATTACATCAATTTTAGGCTTGGAAAGGAGGACCTTTCTACTTATTTGTGTTTCGGGAGGATGTTATGGAATTTAAAGTGAACTGATTGTCAGTAACTTAGAGGTATCAGTAGAAAACATAGAACAGTGTCGCAAACGCGCTGACACGTCATGTCCTATTTGGTAAATTTACAAAACCTTGGATTCGGTAAAGAGGGAGGAAATGCCGATCATTCTTTGCCAATAGGGTAGTCCAACCGCATTTACCACTTGTTACTCGGCAATTATTTGGGTTTTTAGAACAAAATCCGCGGGTTGAAATGGTTCCATGACACAAGATTGATTTGCCTAGGAGATAACTCCAAAAGTTGACATTTTTAGTCCCAGAACCTGGTGCTGCTATCCAATATAACCTGGATGGTTACGCACGCACTGTAAGACTTCTAAGCGAAACGACAATTGCGTGAAACGGCGGCTTTTATGTTGCGTTTTTTAAGGGTTTCACTTCACTTGTGCATTCCGAATTGGAATTACTGCGTCTGATGACAACGAGGATGTCAGCGCCTGCTTTAATCAATGTACCCCTGAGAGTCACTAACATGTACCGAAGACAGGGATTGATGGAATAGCCTACCGAACAAGCTTGTGCTATCTCGACTGATGGTTGCCGAGGAGTTGAATCCGCGGATATCGAGGGCACTTATTAGATTCCAAGTGCGCATTTGGAACAATCACCATATACAAGTGAATTTGGGTTTGCACTGCACGGTGGTGTTGTACTATCTGCAGGGAATTATGGACGGCATTGAGGTGTTATATGAGTCCCCGCTTAGTCCCATTCCCAACGTCTGCGGATGATCACAACCACACACAATAAGCGTAGATAAGCGTATATGGAATGAAAAGCCTCCTGTTCCGCAAACATCTACGTAGAAACATCCATTTTGTGAGCATGGCATTGAACTGAAGTCTTAAATGATTTGCTTCATGAATGGCAGAAAAATGATTTTCGAGCTCGGGGGAAATTGAAACTGCAACATGGATGCACGCCACAGATGCGTTCTAGAAACCCTGATTTTGATCTTGGACCATGAGTAATTCTTGCACCGGATAGAGAAACATGGAGGTGGATCCCAAAGATTAATGAGGCGCATTTCGTGATTCGGCATGTCCGGGTACACGAATGTAAACGATCCATTGGCAAGCAACTTGCAACGAGCGTACTAGCACCAAAGCAGTTAACTTATGGGTGTACTCAACCCCTGCACCTATCTGCGTAAACGAAATGGGTTAACAGTGTTCCTGTGCTTCATGTCGCTTGAAAAGTTCTGTATTACCCATAGGTGTTGACTGGACTAACTGAAGCGGAGGACTAAACCTGTTGAGTCAGGTTGGGCATCGAGGATGGAAAAAACTACAATATTAACCAGTCAGATGTCAGTGAATATTCTAATGGGTCAAATACGATGTATAAGTGTCGCCTAACTTATCCGATAAATATTACTCCCGCTTGGTCATTTGTAGGCATCCAGCTCACATGAGTAGAGCTCTAGTATTCGCCTTTGAATCACCCTTGTTTAGAGTTGTGATTGGTTTGCTTGCGTATTTAGATTCTGTAAAGCCTCCATCTTCACTGTGTTATATCGGCGTGAAGTGCGCATCCAGTCGGTAAGCAACCACAAAATGAACCTCTAACATGTCACATCCACTCACATTCTTGGATGATAGCTGTTATGTCTGCTGATTCTCCAGTCTGAGGTATCTGCTGCGGACCCGCTCCAGGGCCTAGTGTCGGAGAGAAAAAGACTCACGGAAGGGAACACAATAGCTATATCCCAACAAAACGGGCGCGAGAGCGTGAGTGCGTGCGAGTGCGAAAAGTACAACGGCCTCGAGCTTTTTATTGGAAGGACTCTGTCTGAACTTGGTCCAATGCTGACGCACACGGTCTGGGTGCGACGTGCTGCATATCGCGGGGGCGTTGTTTGACCTTGATCAACACTGACTCGCGCTTTCTAGGTTTGATGCAAGGCTGTGACGCGCTGCATATTGAGGGGGCGTTGTCTGTCTGGTCAACATCTAGCGGAGCTGAGGGCTTCGGTAGAGTTCGGGCATTCGGTGGTCGCTTTCAGGAAGCTGACCTTCCTGATGATAGCAGTGGCCATTTATCTGCCATAGCTTCACATTTATTCATACAGAAATATTTCTGGACTAAAGATAACAGTTGTTATTTAGTATAGACTACAAAACTGGGT